TCATAGAAGCAGCATGTCTGTGGCTCAGAACCAGAGCAACTATTCACCTCCCTTGTCTTCTGGTAGGCTTGCCTGAGCGCCTTTATTTTCACACAGCCTTTGTCCCCCATGCCCTGTGCGATTTTGGCATAGATGTCAGCATTTTTTCTGCTGGTTCGGAGCTCTGCTTGCACAGACTCTTCTCCCCACACAGAAATCAGACCCAGTGTCTCCTGTATGCTCCACGCTGGACGGTGTTTGCGGCCCTGGGCAGGCATGGTCAGCTGCGGTGGTGAGCTCTCCACCCTGATCAAACAGGAAATGAAATTCAAAAGTTCCCGGGGCTTTTCCTGTGTACCTGGCTGAAGTGCCGTGGAGTTGAAAGTGCTGTCCAGAGCGATCACATTGGAGCACTGTGGGACACCTCCCGAAGGCCAAACCCATCGAATTACACAGCGTTGTGTCTACACTACCCCTAATTCGACCTGGGAAGGTCGACTCTAATGCTAATCCTCTTGCCAAGGTGGCATACAGGCATCGATTTGACAAGCCCGTTAGGTCGGCGGAAAGGGCTTGGTAGTGTAACGCGGCAAATATTGATCTAACGCCGTTGTGTAGACCAGGCCTAAGGCTGTTTCTCTGCCTGCCTTGCTTGCATGAGGTTAGTCAAGATGGCTGCTTGCTTCCACTTCATTCCTTCTTGGTTTGCACACGCTCCAGGCAGCAGCCTATTCCTTTGTGCTATTTTTATTCGCCTACTTATTCCCTCTCTAGCTGGCTGGTTTCACACTATCTCAGGAGCCAAAACAGCAGTCTGTCACCCTGTGCCTCCAGATGAGCTTCTGTCCCCTTTTTTATGGTATTATTTGCTTACTTTTTCTTCTTCTTGTTCAGGCAGTGTGAGCACTGGACACTCGTTGGATATAAATTCCTTTTCATCAAATGTTATATTTCTGGAGCCAGCTGTGAAGGAGATAGACAGACACAGAGGGAGCTGATAGACACACAGCTGTTTGCTGTGCTTACTTCATTGTTCTGGCTGCAACAAAAGTGAGGCTTTGCACCGGGAAGGAGTTTCCACTCAAACATTTAAAGGGACAGGACATCACAGTAAATATGATGAAATGTCTTTGTTCATGTGTTTGAATCTGGTTTGCCTATGGCTGCTAGGGTTGCCAACTTTCTAATTGCACAAAACCAAACACCCCTGCCCCACCCCCTGCCCTGCCCCTTCAACAAGGCCCTGCTCCTGCCCTGCCCCTTCTCCAAGGCCCTGCCCCTGCTCGCTCCATCCCCCCTCCCTCTGTCACTCGCTCTCCTCCACCCTCACTCACTTTCACCAGGCTGGAGCAGGGGGTTGGTATGCGGGGGGAGCAGGGGGTGAGGGCTCCGGCTGGGAGTATGGGCTCTGGGGTGGGGTCAGGGATGAAGGTTTTGGGTGCAGGAGGGGGCTCAGGGCTAGGGCAGCGGGTTGGGGTTGGGATGTGGGAGGGGGATGAGAGCTCCGGCTGGGAGTGTGGGCTCTGGGATGGGGCTGGGGATGAGGGGTTAGGGTGCAGGACAGGGCTCCAGGCTTGGGAAGTGGGGTTGGGTGCAGGGGGTTGAGGGGTCTGGCTTGGGGTGCAGGCTCCGGGGTGGGGCCAAGGATGAGGGGTTTGGGGTACAGGAGCGGGCTCAGGGCTGGGGCAGGGTGATGGGGTGGGAGAGCGGGTGAGGGGTCTGGCTGGGGTTGCAGGCTCTGGGGTGGGGCCGGGGATGAGGGGTTTGGGGTGAGGGAGGTGACACTGAGCTGGGGCAGGGTGTTGGGGTGTTGGAGGGGTGTGGGGCCCCAGCAGTGCTTACCGCATCTCCCAGGAAGAGGCCGTCAGCTCCCTGTGGCCCTTCAGGGCATGGGCAGCCAGTGATGCTCAGCACGCTGCCCTCGCACCTGCAGGCGCCGCCCCCGCAGCTCCCATGGGTTGCGGTTCCCAGCCAATCGGAGCTGCAGAGCTGGCACTCAGGCGGGGCAGCGCGCGGAGCCTCCTTGGTCGCCCACGCGCCTAGGGCGGCCGCTTCCAGGAACCAGGTGGAACCAAGGCAGGCAGGGAGCTTGCCTTAGTCCTGGGCCCCTGCTACGCCGCTGACCTGACTTTTAATGGCTCGGTCGGCAGTGCCAACCGGAACCACCAGGTTCCCTTTTCGACCGGGCATTCTGGTCGAAAACCAGATGCCTGGCAACCCTAATGGCTGCTTATGTGACTATGGTTGATAAGGGTATCTTCCCTCAACCTGTCATCCATGTCCAGATTGGGCTTGATTCTGAGCTCTTCTCCTTCACTGGTTTACACCAGTGTGAGATCAAACCACAGTAGGAGTGCGGGCAATCCTGCTTCTGCCCCTGATAAATACTGTACAATGAGTCGTGAGCTCCAGAGATATTAGCAAGGTCTCTACAAAGAGTCATTGTTCTTTAGCCAGCACAGAGATGCAGCACTTCTCTCTTTATAGTTCATGTTAGTGAATGGAATCTCTCAACCGATTAATTTATGCTTGACAAAGGGCGAGGTAATGAGGAAGCAAACATTTTCTGTTTAAAACACCCGTCAGGCGCATGCCAGCATGTGGTGTGTAATAGTCCAGTGTTTATATAAACCTCAGGTGCCAGGTGTAGAAATATCAGTAGGACCATCTGACCCTTTAGTGCTGTTGTACATTTTCCTCTCGTGTCTCTGTGCACAAGCGCTGGAATCTGTGTCATCACAGAGAGAATCTGTTTATCTTGGCGAGACTGTTGCCAAAAAGGTCAAGTGCTAAGGAGCACTGTTAAAAGTTACACACGGGCCTGTGTGCCGCTTTGTGTCTCTTCATTTGAGCAAAACAACCAACCTGGCAACTGTAATTCATTCCTCTGCCTCTTTGAAATTTACAAAATTGTGCAGTGTGGCCACACAGGGCTAAATTCTGCTCTCAGGAACACTGGTGAAAACCTGCAATATCTCCATTAAAGTCAATAGTTACTCTGGATTTGACCCACAGTGATTTTGTAAGGTGGAAGGATTTTTTTTTTTTAATTCGAGGCATTTTGAATCTTCCCCTCCGCTTTCATCAGAACGATTTAGGCAATCCAAATCAATCTGCAAATTGCTACAGGTTGTTGCTTATGAATTATCCCAAAGCCTTTGTGCCAGCATATTGATTGCTCTATAGTCAAGAGAAAATAGATGCAGAGCCTAGAAGAACCATAAATAAAAAAAGAAAGAAAACCCTTCAGTATAGCATAGAGATTATTTATCCACACAGTTTAAATATCTACCTTATAGGTACATGGCTGTGATTAGTGAGTAAAAACAGATGCATCATCTACCATTACAAAACTATGTCACATGCAAGAAAACCAAACCCCTCAGATAAACTGATGGTTAAAAACAGAAGCATTTTGGAGACTTAATGAAAGCACATTCAGGGAAGGAAATGTATTTTCGGGGAATGTATAGGGAGTTGAGTTGTACTGACACCTTACAACACAAATATAATCAAGGCATTGTTTCAGATATTTTTTAGAATTGTTACTGCGCCTGTATCCACATTCTCCAGTGAGCTGTTTTATCATTCATTATAATTGCATATAGTCTCAATGTGCTGTAACTAGACTTTGTTCCTTTCCCTTCCAGTCGACTCAGTTGGTTGTTGTCTCTGCTATGCTAGATTAATGTTTATTAGTTCTGATAGATGTTACCCTATCAAGTTATTGCTAGTTTGATGCTGGATTTGAGATAGACCAAAAAATGTCTATTTATACTAGAGCGGCAAGAACTCGTTTCACTGGAGATTTTTTACTGCTGGTGCCCAGGCAACTGGTAGCAAGCCAGCATGGAAAATGTGGTTTTTTGCTTTGCTCCTTTTTGACAAGATTATCTGAATGTTCCAGCTGTGATACTGCTGACACCATCACTGAGCAAAACCGAGTTTGGTTTCGCTCTGAAGCGGTCATTTCAAATTGGCCCCTGCAATCCCACCCAGGATGGTAGTGGACTAAATATGGTTAACATCTGACAGCTGTTCAGTGGCCCTTATGAAATAAGGCCAGTTCCTAGTAAGCAAGGCCACAGTTTTGTGCACACGGCGCAAAAACTATCATCTCAGTTCACATTGGCTAAGCGATTCAGAAAGAGATCCAGGACTGAATGCAGAAGGAGACTACCCTCTCATTACTGAAAATGCTCACACCAGATCAGGGTTATGGAATAGTAGTGGGGAAAGCTGATACATAGGAACTGACATACTGGATCAGACTACGGGTCCAGCTTGTCCAGTATCTTATCACTGACTGGCCAGTTTCAGAGGAAGTTGCAAGAACCCTTGTGATAGGCAGTTATGGGCTAACATGCCCTCACAGAAAATGTCCTCCTAACCGCCATTAGTTAGAAGCTGACAAACCCTCAACCAGGGGCATTTATAGCCATTCCAGAACTCTTTAAAAGTATTTACTAATATAACTGAATAGTCTTGTCATCCATATACATGTCAAATCCCTTTTTGAATCCTGCTGTGCTCTAGAACTCAGGGATATCTTGTGGCCAGGAGTCCCCCCTGGCTAACTGTGCATTGTGGGGAAAAATATTTTCTTGTATCACGGTCATCACTCCCTGTGCTGTGTATATTCC